GTATAAAAGTTCTATAATACCTTACCTAGCAAATATACTATGTGACGAACAGGTTGTTAGAAATAACCTAGTTAATAACTTACATTCTTAACATGTCTTTAATTTTAAAAAGTTTGCACAGTTTTTTTTGGTCTTTTTTTTAAAATTTATTTAAAAAAAACTTTTTTTTTAAAAAAAATTTCTTTTTGTATTTTCTACTGCCTATTTGTTCGTTTTTTTTTTCAGTAAGTAACTTGTTGAAATACCCTGTGCTGAGAATTCTATATTGTACCAAAAATATAATATTGAATAAAGCCATTAATAATAATAATAATAATAATCAGAATCAAAAATGAAGTTTGATCTGTAAGAACTCGGAAACGTGATAGAGAAATGAATTTAAGGTTAAAAACATTATGAATAGACAGAGTGAGTAAAGCTCTGAAGAACAGAAATTACATATATCTGGCTCCTCATCAAGCTCCGTTTACAGGTACAAGTCTACGTGCCGGAAAATATAATAGTTCCAACATTTCGGTGTGTACAGAAATACAATATGGCGGATGTGTAACAGCTTAGGTTGGTTGGTTAAGAGTTGACCTCTAACAACTAAGCACATGTCAAGACAGTAGTGTTGAAGTATTCATTCACTTCCTTGTTTTGTGCAAGCTTTAAATCTCCTATTGTCTTATATTGAATGCTGAGAGGCTCTGTTTGTCTGAACAGGTAATCCCACTCCCCACTGACTGGTCTAAATAAAGAGCTATTAACTATTAGTCTGGTTTCTCCTATCAACAGCAAGAGGGTTACCTATAGGCACGAAGAATGCCGTGTAAAACGTTACCACAATGTGTAATAGACAGTCACATAATTATGATTCACAGGTGATTCGAATGTTAGTTACGTACTGTGTAAGATCATCAGTTATGGTAGCAGATGAATCCTATGATTTCTGGATTGTTTGCCCAGTGTACTTCATTTTCACGAACCAAGCTTTGGTTTAACCATAAAGTATCTGACGATATATTATTCAATTGAGAAGAACCAAACTAGGAAATATGTGGAAGATTTATGTGAGAGCACAGGGCTAGTAAACCAAATGTAGAAAATACACAAAAGCAGTTAGAAATTAATAGAATTGTGTGAAATAATGTCACATTGTCCTAATGCATACAAAAGGACTCAAAGTGTAAATTCGTTAGAATTTCAAAGATAAATTCAGTAATGTCCAAATGAACTCCTATAACATAACATTCATTCCTTGATAAATAAGAAGGAATCTGGTTACACACAGTGAAGAGTATAGCTCACTATGATATAATTTTACGCGTAAACCTGTACTTATTTATTGGAAACAGTGGAGTAACAGACAGAGGTGTACGAGTAAGCACAAGAAAATCAAGGCTATGATCGTTAACTAAAATTTAAGTAAAATCCTACTAAATACTCTATTGGTGCAACAAAGATATAAAATTAGTTATAATTCACAACAAACTTGACATGGTTGGTGCTTATTAGACTATACTCATATTGTGGATAAAAGAGTAAATAGGCACAGGTTAGGGAAATGGTTGGTGACCGTAGTCCGGTCTAACCATAGTCTTAGAGTTACAATGAATGTTGACTTCATGAGCACTTCCCACTGCTGCACGTCTTTGGGAACACTAGGAAATAATATTCATCCTGCTATGTCACGTAAACTCAAAGGGCATAGGATGCGAGTACATAGTTAAAAAAACATAATACTCGTGGCATACAGGTTTCATACCGAGTAATTAATGATCGGATCTTTTCACCCGAAAAAGTGATATCCGCCCTTCAGTTAACTAATTCAAGAAAAAAATTAGACACTATGTAACTAAAAAAGGAATAACAAAGCCCGTGGGCTCTCTACTCCAGTACATAAATCTGAATCCGAAAATTACTTTTTAAAGCCACAATCTTTAAAATACTATATTCATCGAGCTTAGTTATCTAAATACAAGGTACTCGTTCTGCAGATGTATTCAAGAAAATTTCGAGTCAGCATTAAGTTCTTTGTAATCTAGATGGACACAGACATTCTAGCCTTTTACATTATCAACTTAGATCAAACTAACGACAACTGTCTTAATTATGAAATCACAACTTATTTCCTCTGACCGACTCATCCTACACAAGTAAGTGAGATAAGAAGCAACGAGAAACTACTCCCTGCCATTTCGCTTGAAACTAACTCAACCTTCATATATAATGTTAGACATTCATATGGAAAGCATTTCGTTGGGAATTGTGAAAATAGTCCGAAAAGTTTGTTCTCATATATAAAGAGAGGACTGGAAGAATTGATGAAATGCCACCAGTTTTGGCACAGGAATTTCTGTCACTATTGGCATGAGACAATGTTGCGAAAGCTGAAGCTCATCGGACTATTTTAGCAAGGTTCCCTACCTACGATGATGAAATGCCAACAGTTTATCTTGGTAATAGCGGGGTGTTAATGGATGCTGTGGTTACTGAAAAATGATATATCACGATTACGTCAACATTTCAAACCAGATAAGCCCATTGTTCCTAACAATATTTATCCCAGGATTATGAAAGCTGAGCCTTTAGCGAAATTGTTCGATACGTCTTCGAGATAGTCCAAAACAGCTAAGTGAATGGGAAGACGCAATAAACAATCCGGTTTATAAAACGAGGAGTAGGGATTTAGTTAGCTAAATTCGACCTGTTAGTCTAACTAGTGCAGTTGTCAAAATAATTGAAAAAGATTATTCGGGTGGCTACTTGAAGCCATGTGAAAGGCAATGATCTTTTACCCAGAGTATAGCATGGTTTTAGAAACGTCTTTTCACATCTGACAAATGTACTCACTTCAAGAAAAGACTGAGCAGCGGTGAAAGATAGAAATAATTATGTAGATTTGATTTTCACAGAACCAAGTGAAGTTTTTAACAACTTCTCTAACCTGGGTCTCAAATTAACGTGGGAATCTGTAGAGAGTGGTGTTCTTGAGGCACAACCGGGAGTTTTCTTTTTTTACTTTATGTAAATGACTGACAAATTGTAATGAAGTCATCCGTTCTACTCTTTGCAAATGAAAACGATTTAAAGACCCATACACTTGATATCAGATAGGATAATGGTACAAGATGAATCGCATTCACTGACTGAATGGATATGTCGACCATTAAAAGTCAACTGCAATAAGCGTGGTGACGCAATCAAATGACTGCAACGATTCATGTCGCTAAACAATATGAGGAGTTGTGTCACCAGGAGTTATGAACTATAAAGATTTGAAAATCTTAATAAGCAACAACCGCAGTATTACTTGCAGCTACAAGACTGCTGTCGTCAAAAGCTTCAGGATCTTATGAGCCAACCCTAAGGCATTTTATTGCTCGGATGAAGAAATGTTTGGGGTATTATACTCGACCTTTTGAAGCCAAATTTAGGACAATTGATTCAAGCAGCGAGTCAGTTTTTCAAGTATGAGTTGGATATTCTGAAGTGGGTTCAACGGCTAGGGGTCAATATTGTAACTGATCTCTGGCTTATCTTATAAATACAGTCTGGGACGCCTCAACATATATCGGTTGCCTCACCGCGTGTTACAGTGTGACCTAATACCAACTTACCGTTTACTGAACGACGATTTTGCCTTATTTTTTCCTTCAACTTAGAAGTGATCGTTTAAGGTAACGTTCCGAGTGAATTCAGAAATAGAGTTCCGTTTCTTGCACCGAGTAGTGAACTAATCTACCTGTAAACCAAGGTCGGTTGCCAAATGACTGAAGGAACGTCATAATAAGTCCTCAATGAAAACTGGATTCTTTCTGAAAAGCAGCATGGCTTTACAGTAGGTTATTCCCGTCTCACTAATTTATTAGTAGCTCGTAAAAGTTGGTGCGTTCTTGAAGACCAAAAGTTACCTATAGACGTATCCTACACTGACTTCAGCATAACTTTTAACAAAGTTCCTCCAAATCGGTTGTTATGTGAGCTAATAAATGTCGGGGTTGAAGAAAACTTCTTAATGTGGGTAAAAGACTTCCTAGTTGGGCGCCAACAAATATTACGGTTGAACTCTAAGTTGTCTAGCTCGGAAACTGTGCCTATCAGGGTGCATCAGGGTACAGTTTGGCGGCCAGTGCTGTTCCTCTTGTACGTAAATGACATTCTTCGTTTCCAATCACCATCTGTTTCGCTATATGCTGACAATGTCAAGATATGTAGAGCAACAAGAAGTATAGGTGATAGCTCAGAACTTCTAAATGACATAGAGAAATTATCCGAATTGTCTCAAACTTGGCAGATGCCGATAAATACTTTTAAGTGCATTGTGGTGCATATTAGTCATCAAAGTACAGGTACACACATAATGAATTACATCGCGCTACCAGTTGTCCAGACACACAATGACTCAGGATTCATCGTTAGCCAAGACCTAAAATCTACTTCATACAAGCGGTTTAATACTGCCTAAAAAGAGACGGTGAGAGTTTAGAAAGTGTTCAGGGAACGATGATAAGCTGATTCCCGGCTTCCGTACGATGTTTGATTGGTTAAACTAAAACTACTTCCTTTTTCATATCTAAGAACCAGAGGTGAATTAACTACGGTTTGCAGATTACTTGGTGATAACGTTGCATCGGATATTCTCTCATATTTCTTGGCTTCCAAAAAAGAGAATTTACGAGGTTACTGCAAAAACGTTCTCAAACCCAGGACAAATTACTTGTCAACCGACTTTCGACTTCCCCACTGAATTTAATGCTTCAATACAATATAAAGGTTCCATGTGTCGACTCTTTCAGAAGAAAGTTGGGGCAACTGAGAGACCATCAGTTCCAGGACTAACACAGGCCAACGAACATCCTGTCTTTTCCAAACTTAATTCTCTACCAGAATATGTAATATCAGCAATTTCTGTTAATAAATTCAAATCGATATTTGGTACTCTCAGTACTACAAAAATCATGGATTATTATAGATCGATTGACCTCCCATTCTTAATGTTGAAGACTAGTGTTGTACATCGAGGTTTAGGGGCGGTCTAGTCAAATATTCTATCACCATGTCTCTTACATCACGCCTCCTTTGCAAACATATGGCGAGTGACCAACCTTGGTCAGCCGTCTATTTTAGTTCGGTTAGTTCTATTTTTTCGTGAATAATAGTTTGCAGGCGAGGTATAGGTATTATTCCAAGGGTTTTATACAAAGTCTCATCGATAAAGTTAAAGAAGAATCTAACAAAGACACAGAGTTAAAAGTAAACTTAATACTTCTGGATTATCTTTGATCAAGGAAAATATCAGAAAGTTTCGAGAAGAAACAGCGAAATTAGAACAAACAAAGGAATTGCGCTCTGTCCGGGAATTTTATGTCAGTTTATGTAATTCTCGAATCCCTTATACTTTAGAAAAAGATAGAGAAAGAAATGCCAGGCGATACTGTAGGAAAAGTACGAGACACTTTCCAATCTGTTAAGAGCAAAATCCGTAATGATGCTCAGCAATTTGCTCAAAACGAAACACTAAGAAAGGGTGTTGAAAATTTATCAAAAGCCAGTGAGCATGTTAAGGATGCCACTAAATCACTTAGTGAAACAGAGTTCATCAAGGCTGCTATAAAAGTAACTTATCTTGCTTAGAGATATATTGATAGGGTGTTGAAGTAGTTGGGAAGGAGTTAGAATCAGAAAGGTTTCAAATGTATCAAGCGCCAAGTAAGTCAAATTCGACAGTGCTTATCAGTGAATTTCTAGGTATTTTAAAAACAAGAAGTGAGATCTCTGGCAAAGGTGAGGAACGCGTAATACAACCAGATAGGTGAGCTTTATGCCATTATTGTGAGTCATACTGAAAAAATGTCAGGATTTAACTGTCAGCTTGTTTTAACTGTGTATTAATTATTTCTTGACGCGAGAGATCTTAATTTTAAAGTTTTTACTAACCAGTTTGTATAATCAAAGCAACATTTGTTTTTCAATGAGATATTTGCTCAGTAAGTCTGGTCACATTCGCATGTGTAGACACTTACGTATGAAGATCCTTACGATGTTTATATAAAATGTTACTGGCTACATATAACTTGTGCATTTTCAAAGAATGACGTCTAACTAAACTCTGGATTCTCGGCATCTTTTTTTAACCATAAAAATCAGAGTCTTTTCGCAACGTGTCAAATCTGTTATACAAGCAGTCAAGACCGATTTGTGGATCACTTTTGAGCAATACTTGTATCCGTGATAAACCTCAACCACTTACTACCATCGGGATAGGGTCATAAATTAGTGTGAGGAATTGAGACTAGAAGTTGGGGTTATAAGCTAAGATTTGGAAATACAATTGAGTTTTTCATCGCAAACTAACGTCAGCTATAATGTAATTTAAACATGTATGCATGAGTTCCTCGCCAAAATCCAAAACTCGGTCTCAAATCTGGTTAGTCCGCCCACAGATTACATTCTCACCCGTAAATCCCTTTCGATTATATCCTATTTTATTTAGCTGTTAGAACTTCTACCATTAATTTGATGTTTTTCAATCTTACTAATATTTCTGAACTGTTCAGATGTAAGCATCTAATAGTTTTATGTACTCTGTAATTCATTGGTTAAAATATGAGTTGAACCTTAGCAAGCTACGTAGGCATTTAATCATTGTGCTTAATACCAGCTTTCAGATAATCACTCTCAACACGGATTTCCACAAGATATACATATTTGTTGTCTTAAAACCATTTACACATGGCATTATTTCATTCATGATATCAAGCGTCCTGGATTTCATTCTCATTATGCTAAACATGAAGTATCTGAAGTAGACAGCCATTCACAACGCAGAACCTGATACATCGAAAATAGTTTATTTGATATATGTCCTCGTTGTTACTCAATAAGAACGCAAACCATTTTTTGAATCTAGTGTGTTGGTATGAAATTTCTATCAATTCAGCCTCTATGTATTCGAATCATTGTGCCTTTTGGACTCTATCAAAGCTTAATGTTTTCTCCTTTCATCTATCAGTTTTTAAGTGTATTTATCTGAGTACTATTTAGTTTCGGTTCCGGTTTGTATTAGTGTTGATTTTTTGTGGTAAACATTTAATCCGAATTCCCATTACACCCAGATGCAATGTAATAGCGTAATATATGCTACTTATGTTCGCAGATATAAGTAGTATGTAACACCAATCGGATGTGGAATGTCTGCTAGCGCGAGGTTTGGAAGATTGAAATAAAAAAACAGAGAGGGAAACTGAAAGCTACCAAGATAACAGATATGAAGGAACAATGAAGCTTGTAAGAGACAGTTCAAAGATGTGCAAATGATGTACTTAATGTATGGTTTTCATATTTTACGAAAGCACTTTGTGGTTGAGCAATAAACAATAAAATTTTTCTTACCCATCCGAGTCTTCGTAGTAGCTGATATCTTGGAAATAACAGAAATATTCCGTCCAATTACATCCAAATATCGAATGTAGTGTTACTCTATGCTCGCCCTTCTTCAGTGTTGTCCCTTCCAGTCTTTTGGTATTGCCGTTATTACCCATCCTTTTTTCCTGTGGTGTGTTAGTGTAAAGTATGCTCTCAGGCTTGTTAGTATTCATAATTTATACTCGTACATATGTAGAAGTATCTTTTTTCTGCTATATTTGCATTTTTTACAGTTGGTGTCTATAAAATATATTTATTCAAGTGAAACTTGTGATAAATATCTTATTAAAACAACAAATATAAGTCCAAAGTATTGTTTTCAGCTATATCTTTAGACTTTAATATACAGTAATATTTATATGCATATATAAAACAGTAAACAAAATAAGACAACTTGCTGGTCAATGAGTCCAATTACATAACCGATCATAAGTAAAATGTTACAGATCGGTAGTGAAATGACAAGTGCTCATGTATTGATAATAACAGTAAAAGTTTGAATAAGTATACCGAAAATTGGTGAAAATAAGCTTTTAAAATAATCAAAACTATGTGATAAAAGGTGTGAGGACTCAGCTTAAATACCTATGTAGCGGAGGATTTATATCGAAAGGGTCAAGAAAAACATGCAAGTCAGGGGTGTAAAAAAATTGGTCAGATCGTTTATCAAGTTTTATCCGGCCGAGAAATGAACAGTGGGGGCCAAATCACTCAGCATTGTTTAGATAACAGTCCATTTTAGTCTAGATAAATCTAGCAGTACTAAAATCAATGCCAGCTGTGGCAGATATAATGGTAATAGCTGCCGAACTTGGAACCGTGGAAATTATATGAATTCCGGTCAACGGCTAACACACTGATTACAACTAGGGAGGATCTTCCAAACAAACTATATATATATAATACTGAAACCACTTTAGAAGCCATTATGATTACAATTACTTACCTACATTGTAGTATATATATATATATATATATATATACGTTTATCATTTAATTTGTTTGATTATTTCTTAACTTTTAGTGAAAGTTCTGGTGTTGTCGTGCACAAAGATTCAAAATGGTTCACTGCATGGCAAGATTTCAAGGAAAATAATCAGTACGTTCAAAGTGAGTGCTATGTTACTTGTCCAGACTATATTTATTTTTGTTCATTGTCATTTTTTTTGGCTCGAAAGCTATTCTATTTTGGAAGAGACAGTGACCATAAGTTTTGAAGAAGGCATCGCGAAATGACTATAATCGAAGTGAAAACTAAACATACAACTGTTTGTCTAAGAATGGTTACATTTTTTCTCTCATAGGTTTTTGTTTAATCAACCAGAGTTTTACCCTCAAATGCCGTGGTACCGATGAGGGTGGGAAAAACCCTCTCTCTCTCTCTTAAAACACTAACGTGACCACGTGCATACAACCACTATCAGGGAAGTCATACTAACTGCGTTCTCACGGCAGGGGTGTTGTTTACGAAATTAAGAGGACGAATGCGAACATCCGACGCTTTAACCGGGTTGGTGGATATGGAGAAACAGCTTAATTAAGAAGAATACACCGAGAAAGGGTTTTAACAGTTAAAGAATTTCCTCTCACGCATATAAAGAAGGTAATATAAAATTGAAGTAGAACCACCACTGGCTTTTATTTTAAGCTATCCTAAGGAAACAAATGACATATGCACCTATCATGGGACTGTATCTCCTTACGTTTCCCCACCGCCTTGTGGACTAGACCTTTAGGTCAAAATCTCAGGATGTGGACTTCTAAGAAAACCACCTGCTTCGGTTTGGGCACCCGGCCAGTATCCCAGCCCTCACATAAGTCGAATGATTTATGTGACGCATATCTGTTTGTTGCCTCCTTGTACCAATGTTTGTGTTTAAATAAATACCACGTCATACACTGACTACTCCGCTTTTTCCAACCGTCCCAAAGTTGACAAATAATGCACCATGTCGAATTCCCTGGGACACCCTTCGTAGTACATATCCAGGCCACTGAAGTCAATACTTCAAGATCACTCAGTTGAATTATCGTCACTACCCGAACATGTTTCCAAACTTTGCATCACTAACATGTTGCCACTAAAAGTCAGCAATCATTCATCGACCATCTAACACACAGTTGCTCAACGTCCACAACTCAAAAGGTCCGGGTTTCACAAGCACTAAGTGAAACTGCTCTCATCGGGCCTTGTAAATCTGACCTTTTACAGACAGACTTACATCATAAAGGCTCAGAAGATGATCCAGATTGGCTAAAAATTCTGCTTCTCATTATACATGAAGTGATCTCATCACTCACTCCACCACCAGCGCTTACGCGGCTACTTAAATACACAAACTTCTCAACTGCTTCTATCTGCTCATGTTAGCGGGACATCGATTGAATTAGAGCACGTTCCGCGCAGGATTGTGTTGGTGCACACTGACTGACTATTGCTTAACCAGTCAGCACTAGTGGATACTTCGAGAAGACTCTGGAATCTTCTTGTGTAAAAGATATAAATATACTAACGTTTTTCTTATTGTGCTTCATACCTTTATCATTTGGAATATAATCTCGTTCCTATTCAACCGCGTTCTGATTTAGGGACTTGTCAAGTGAATTGGTGTCCAAGAATACTAAGCAATACGAATAGCTGGGTCGTAATAAGAGAAATTATAAAAGCTCACTACCCAGAGTGAATGCATGTTCAGGTTCCTACCGGCCTTGTAAAAGTACCTTGCACTCGGGATGTACTTTATACATCCTATACCTACGGACACTGATTCCCGATCTACCAAGTATGGGTTCCATGACTTAGGTATCACTGCACATTAAGGAAAAATCATCCACTTACTCAAGTTTGAGAAGTTTTTGTCCAGGTACAAGATCCGCACCACCATTACCTACGTCCATCAGAGCTGTTTCTAGAACGTCATCGATGGCAAAGTTGAGGAGGAATAGTGAGATTGGACAACCCTGTCTAACCTCACTGCTTCAGCGGAACAATGAAGATAGGTGATTGTATACCCTTACTCTGTCTGGGGTGTTCGTATATGAGACCTTCAAGATGTTAATAAACATCCCGGGTACATCGTTTTCCAACAGACAATTTCAAGGAACAATCCTGTCCAACAAATTGAAGGCGGCCCTGATATCAAGAAATATAACTACTGTTGGTCTGCAATAAGTATGGCAACGTCCTAACATTTAGTAGAGGGTGTAGATAAAATCGGTATAACTTTAACCAGAATGAAAACCAGCCTGCTCCTCGCCAGTCAATCTTTCATGGGTTATGACAAATCTATAACTAACGGTGAACATGGAAGTTTTGCTCTATGCTTGTGAAACCTGGCCTCTCCGAGTTGAGGACGTTAGACGACTCTCTGTGTTCGATCATCGCTGTCTCCGAAGGATTGCTGACATCCAGTGGCAACACCATGTTAGTAATGCAGAGGTTCGGCATCGTGTGTTCGGGCACAGAGACGATAATGCAGTTGGTGTCACCATCTCGAAACACTGACCTCGGTGGCTTGGATATGTTCTACGAATATCGTTCCAGAGAATTTCACGTCGTGCATTATTTGCCGACTCTCAGACTGGTTGGAAGAAGCGGAGAGGTGGTCAGTGCATGACATGGTGTCATGGCATGAAAGAAAGCTGCAAAGGACTGGCTTCTGCTGGTCCTTCACGACTCCCTGGTTAGGGTCCTAGAAATGGTGCAACACAGTGGCTAGAGACGTTATCAGATATAGCTCAGAATGGAAGCCAATGGCGATCTAGCTTTAACCTTCTTTTAATTTATTCACAAAAAGTGGTTGTAACTTCCTTAACTGAAAGAATTTTTCTGATTGAACCTTTCCGTTCCCTCATTATTACTATTATTATTACTACACTACCTTACACCAATCTCTTCGTTATTGTTCTCTTCCTTTTTACGCTCCTTACCTTCTTTTCTCTCTCTTCGTATTCTCATTGTTTTGTGTGGTGCAGATATATAGGCGCTCTCTTGTGCCAATATTCATGTGTTCAAATAAATAAATAAATATGACCAATCTGTAGAGTATGATGGTAGACAATAACTTAGAGGTAATCGGAAGTAGATTTATCCCGAACGGTTGCTACATAAGCGACGTAAATCCCTTTAAAAGACGAGGACAACTATCATTTCAATCCAGGATGTCCGAACACTAATTGCAAATCGTTTGTAAACTATCTAGTCAGTCTCATAGCTAGGGGTTCGTCATTATTCTCCAATAGGGACGGGAGTGAGTCATATAGGCCAAGCTATTAATAACGCTTCAAGAATTGGAGTTCCTTTTGAACGAGTTGTAGTCGACGCAAAGCTATATAGGATGGTCTCCGTTATTCGATCTGCCACCAGCGAATTCCCACTGTCCATCTAGACGGCTCTCCTCCATACCTAGACGCCCGACCTTCACATTCAAGTCTCTGGCTAGTACTACAACATCAGTCAAACACTTTTTTAAATCATTCAACTAGTAGTAGAACTCAACACTGATCGATCCATCAGTATCCTGGAGCCCATGTGCAACATTGGTTTGGAATATGCGCAACCCAACTCCCCTAAGTGGATTCTCTGTACCCACCGACCTGGATCAAGGTTCAGACATTCTCTTTCTACCCTATCACTTTCGTAAACGACACTGCCGCCGCGGAAAGTTTAAGTATAACTTCTTCGGGAGTGGCTACATACGCGCGACTATATGGGAGCATTTCAATAGAGATAACGGACTGCTTCCACCATTGGAAGTACTAGGGCACTTAAAGACGATATCACAATAGTTGGTCACCTTTATTGACAGGTTATTATTTAAGTGTATGTGTGACCTCGCTCTATTATTTTAGGTATCTCAATTACTAATTTTTATAGTATGATTATCTATAAATCGGCAGAAAATCACAACTAAAAAGTGTTTGGTGCATTGTTAACCAAATTTCTATTTTGCATAATAATACCACTCAATTTATGTAATTTGTTCACTCGTATATCTAGTGTTTGATATTATGTGAACCAGATGTCTCTATGTAATTTTTTCGTGGTGACATATAAAGACTAGTTAATATTATGCATATTTTGCTGCATAGACCTGCTATAACATGGCAAATATTAAGCGAAGTTGAACCTTCGGAATTGTACAAATAGAAGCTATCTATAAGTGGATAGCTTCTAGACAGCTTCTATCTATGAGATGGTGGAGAAGATCTGTAGCTCAGGTGGATGATTTTGGTGGAGTTTTGTTCTCTGAGCTGGATGGTTTGGTCGTGCTAACTGTGGTTCAATTGAGATGAACAGTGCTGTTACGTCGAAGGATATCATGAGTTCGTCGTTGTTGATCAAATTAAGGATATTCAAATCAACAACGACGTACTCATGATATCCTTCGACGTAACAGCACTGTTCATCTCAATTGAACCACAGTTAGCACGACCAAACCATCCAGCTCAGAGAACAAAACTCCACCAGAAGCTATCGATCTGCTGTACTATATTCTATCCTGGTTATCGGGCAAGCACATGTAGGAGATTTGTGTTCTGCACCAATGGTTGTTAAGTATTGGTTTTGGCTGTCATCTCGTTATCCTTGTGTCAATTGTTAGCAGAATGCTATGACTTCTATATAGCCAACGAAATAATCAGTACTCAAACCAGACCATATAACTGCTGCTATAATGATGGTCTGATCACACGAACCCCAATGCAATATACAAAATTTGTTTCTTTTTTGTTGTCACATCAAGAACATCTGAGACAAGTAGTGTAGTTGATTAAAAACATAATCTTATATTTTTGATAAAATATCTGAGTGTCTTAAATTAATTTTAGGATTTTTTGATTTGAAAGCTCACTATGAAGAGAGTGATCATTTAGTTATTCGGTCATTACGATTTGTAACTGATAAACTATCAAACCTATTCGGTAAGTTATAAACCATATTTATCTTACAAACATGTATTATAGACATTTAGTACCTAATGCTTAGTGAACTATTCTTGCGACTTGTCTTTCACTGTACAACATTTCCTCCTTACTATGTACTATTAGGTGATACATTTTTTCAAATTGTCTACCCAACGACTTTTTGTGATGCTATAAACAATAATATCAAAATGCTGTAGTCATGATTTACGATCTTTTTTTCTTTAAGAAAAGACACATCGTTTCAACCAACAAAAAACGTTGTTGTTAACTTAGTTTCAATATACATGCATGAGTTTACATCTTTTCCTTAACTCTGATGAAACTTGTTTAACCAGTGTTCAATCTGAGTTTAAATTTCAGTATAATCCACTCAAAATTATTGATCATGAATAGTTACAGTCGTCATACTAACTTCTGTTGCTTGTTTAACGCAGATCAATCAGTCAGTCATACAAGGTAGAACCCAACATATGTGCATCAATTCAAGTTCCCACATCACATTGGCACAGCACAGTAAATCCCTATATCGTAGAAATAGTAACAGTATCAGTAGAAGTAGAAATAATTAGGTATAGAAAAAGAAAGGAAGGGTATAAGGAAATTTTGACTTTCAGATTCTAAAGGCAGACAAATTGAACGCACCTGAGCCATTGCGAACGATTCTGAGTTATATCATTTAAGGTCTCTGACATTTGGTTATGATAGTTCAGCGCACCCTAACCATGTTGTCTACTCTTATTAATAAGACTCAGTTCAACAGTCAATTACTTCAAACACTGATCCCACGCTTTTAATTAGCCGTCTCTACTTTTCAATCTACAACTGACAACCTCACCCGTCAAAGAAGTCAGTGGTTGAGGGTACGTAACTTGTGTCTCATAACTTCATTTGTAGAAGATTTATTACTCCGTCAACCGATTATCTATCTTTACGTAGTACTTCAGTATCGCTCACTCTGTAGTCACAAAATACACGAGCGATAAAACCAGTTCATTTTTATGCAGTTATATACGTCACAATCAAAAACTATTTGCATGCTCTTAAGCTATAACAGACACGATTTTAGTGAGACAAAAAGTCAGTATAATGAGTTCCACTTGATAAGACATCATTCATAACTCAAAGTCCTCTTAACCATACACCCAGCATATGTATCTGGTCCCCTTTGTACCAACATTTATGTGTTCAAATAAATAAATAATTACACTTAGCTTGGGAGAACTCTAGACCTTTTTTGTGTAATTATTTAAGATTCACCAATATAATATGTATAACTGAAAACGCTTATGATTGTGGGTCTTTGTTATGAAACCCACACTGTTATATCTATGTGCATGCACCAGTTTAGAATCAATATTAATTGTTTATAACTAATTTTCACAACGGTGTTGTCAATCAAGATGATTCTAAACTGTTTTTCCATAGGTGGCCTGAAATCAACAAATGATTTACAACAGGTGCTAGATGAAATCACAAAAATGGACCCTTCTTTTGATTTGGAGTCGTTTATACGTTATTGCCGATTTATCGTTATTCCGAATGTACTTGAGGTATGTACAGTACATCTGAAATGGATTGTGTTAAAATATGACATATTGGTTATTATAATTTCAAGTGATCATTATTAAGTTATTGTTAATATTTCAAAATACTTGTTACAGTGTTGAAGAGTAATAATTGCTCTGCATGAAAAAGTTTATATTCATTTGAAAAAATTAGAAGAGAAATTATTTACTATTAACAAGATATAGGGATTTATGGTAATGAGGATAAATTAGTACCCAAACTACACATTACTGTTTATTTTCAGCATAAAACATGCAAATTTATTCTTTTCAAGTCGACAGTCTTTATGGCATTTAATTTATAAAAATATATCATCCCCATGAGATCCTAGTTGTTCAGTTAATTTTGCAGAATGTCTTAAGTATTTTGGCTGGTGCATTCGGGTCTACTCGACAAGTATATAGTTTCATTGAACATCGTAGTAATTTAGATGTTTCATTATTGTTACTGTTACATATCCTACTCATACATAAACTGAATCTTTCGATGTACCTTGGCGTAACAGTTAAGACACCTGAAAGGTGAGTTATTATTCTTGTCCATATAAGGAGGAACTTTTATGTTTTCAGAAATCGCATGTTACGATTTATGGCATATTCTCACCCATTTCCTATACTACCTTAAAAATAAACGGAAAACTATCTTTTCTTTCATTGTCCCATTTTCGTGTGTTTTTTTCCACAATACGTAGATGTATATTTATTTGTAATTATGCAGAACGTTACTAAGTTACAGAAGCTCGTTCACATCTTTTAAAACCAGTCTGAATTCTTGATAAAAAGTGAATACTAATGGGCTGTTTACTTTTTTTCAACCTAGAGTTAAGGTAATAGCTGTTCTACCATTATTATTGCCTAATGCAGTTTAACTTCATTGGAAATTCTTTTCAATATTAGTTATTCAGCTGTTATCTCTTTCACATATGCATAGATATACGTCTCACCTTACACTGTTACGTTTCTCCACTCATATTTCTTTTCGGATTGGTCAGACCCTATTCGTTGAACGAATCTGTGTACGCTTCAGAAGAATGTAGCTTCTAAACAACCTGTTCAAATTATTTGCCAGTTTCGGTTTACCGTATTCCACATTTTGCAGCAATATATGTTTATATGATTTCTGTAACTATATTGTCGCATAAAGACAGTCAACTAATAAGGAAATAGACAATTCTAGGCATAATTATATGCATGTCAAGTATCAAAGTATTTGACTTATAAACTATTCCGGACGTCCGAATGGCCCATTTTATGTGGTTGTATACTGCATACACCTATAATACTGATTTCTCTGTTATGATTGCGCACATCATAGTTAGCACTACCAAAATGATTACATGACTTATAATCCACTAGGTATTTTTCATATCATATTTTGTCTTATTAGTTCAACAGAATAAACATTGCACTTATAAATGTGTTTATAGGTATCAATACCAAGGTTGAATTTGATAGTTCCAAATAAATGGAGCATTGGTAGAAAGTTAATAATCAATATTTTTTGTTACATTAAGTCACAAAACGTCAGAAATACAATTTTCTACTCATTGGGATATAACAAACAATATATTTATTATTGCAATTATAGTCTATCCCTCTTCTCATGTTATATAATGCAGTCATCATAAGTATCATCGCTCTCACATATTCTTTTCATTTTAAAAATATATTATTTCATAAACATTTCTAGTATAGCATAGTCATATTCGTCGTTGTGAGTAAAGTACCCTGCCGATGTGATATTCAAAACACTCAAAAATTCAAACCTTCGTGTAGGCTTATTGTTCTGTCAGTTTTTGGTTATCTAAAATAATTTTTCAGCTCTCATAGTGAATTTATTTTTTGTGCAAGACCTTTTTTCATTAGTTTTTTTCCTATATTTAGGCCATAGTAAGGGGAGACTTACGTATTCTCCAGGATTGGTGTCACGAAGCCGTATGTTTTCTGGTTCTAATATAATTATTGTTTTAATAGCCATATAATGTATTGGCAACACCTTTGAATCAGATTAAAGAACTTGGGTATATTTCTGAATCTCGCATACTGGATGTACATAATGTTGATGTGAGTTCATTTATTTGTGTGATAAAGGTGGTATGTGAACTGTCCGATCATGTTTAAATTAAATTATAAATAGAATTTGCATAATTTCCAAGTTTTAAACGTACACCTGCATGAAATGGGGTTTTTCTTCATTTCTATTCCTGATTATACCGGGAAATGAAGTTAAGTGCCTGCTTTTTTACTGGCGATAATTATTGAAAATTTACTTATGACTAGTGTTATTTCTGTGACTGTAGAGTGTAAAACTGACTTGAGCCTGATACTGAGACTCCGAATCCAATGATGCGTACTGAAAACGAAAGACTGGTATTAATTTTTATTTGACTCCCAAAATGAAGTATACATACACTACTTTCTATATGATCTTTGTACAGTCAACCAAGACCGATCAAATCTCAGCCGAAATTATCAATAAGGTGATAATCTTAATCATTTCAAATTGAATTAAGTCTCATATCCGTTGTATGATTGACTGTCCAGTCTCGTTAGATAATTAGATAAGGTGATGGCATTCAAAGCGAATCGTAATGTGTCCGAGTCCCAGTTTGAACATCCGCTCACGTTCAGGTTCATCCAGATGACGAGTCCCAAATAATACGAGGTACATCGCAAGCCCCATCCCATTTATTCTGTATCAATTTGTATAGTCAGATTAACAATTAGATATTTTTAATTTGACTGAGTATCATTTAACATTAGTTAATCAGTCGTTTTTTATGTCAACACATTTGCGACATAATACTGACCTAATTTTGATCTTTCGGTTGTCAAAACAATTAGATCATTTTTCGTCTTATAAAAGCTGAAAAACAATCACTTAGGTAATTAAAATCCTCAATGTTTTATTTGTGCTGTTTATGGTACTGAGGCGTTACAATTTTGGAAATTCATAATTTTGTGATTCGAAAATTTGCATAGTTTTCATCGTGCTGATTTTAGGTTCAAATGGGCAAAATGATGGAGCAAGGACCAGTGTTGATAATTACATTCCAAGCACAACAGATAAATTGTATTCGTGACAAAAACAGAAATTTACATGAAGGTGATCCAAATAAAGTATTACGTGTGACAAATGTTTGGGCTTTGTGTCGTGATCAAAGTGAAATGAATCCACTAGCAGCGTGGCGTGTGTTAGATATTGCTATGATGCCATCTGAACAATGGATGTGATAATTGTTCTTATCCTAGCACCACAAATTGTGTATTTTAAATCAAAATTGGTAAATAACTTGTTATTAATTTTCCTACATTGAAAATGTGTGTACAGCTTGATTACCTAATCTTTTGAACAGCAATGCTCTTTTAATCTCCAGACTTCGTAGAACACGCACAATTATCGTTTAAACTTTAGTCGATCAAGATTTTGTGAATACTTTCTTGATTCGGGTAACTTTTCTTCTACGCAAAGCATTTATATGTAAGTATTAAACTAGATTTTAGTCAAAGCAATTAACTTATGTTTCGTTTTTTTCGGGCAGTTTGAAATCATCTTTTGTCCTTTTTTTGCTTCAAAGTATTTGTATTCATTATTAATCTAATTGCGAAATATTTTATACATAATTCAATATCTCTCCACAGCTGATAAGAGTAGACAATCAAATGTCAATGGGATGATTACGTATTAGATAAAAATAACTTTTTGAGCATATACATCAAAAGTGTATGTAACGACATTTTTTGTGTAAGTTATATCGGATCAATACATATGTATGCATGTGATAAGGGCAATCTAAGATCAAGTTACGTATATATACTACTTTACGTCCAAAAGAAAAAAAATTATTTTATTGAGTCGAACTCCGCTACGGGGTGTTCGAACTTTTTTTAACAGATCTTTTTCTGTAGATACATTCGATATATTTAACAGAATGTTATTTAGAATACTAACACAGGCTTAAAATCAAACCATGGTTACTGGAAACCATATTACACTGTTCGCGTCAAGTCTACTTAATATTATAGCTCAATTAAAATGTTCTGTACGGTCTTATGAAAATCCTAAGTAAGAAATATGACTCAGTACAATTACAGTTGCTAAATGATTAAATCATAAAGCGCACAACATATCGCAGATTTTGGAAAGTTTTCTGTTGTATATTTTCGCTTGATACTTGTCACTGATTTGACATCGTATAACGGGAACCCTTCAACCGTAGACATTGATTATCAAGCAGACAGCACCTGGCACACCTTAGACCAACATGTGATGACTCCCCAAGCCGGTAGGATGTCTGACCTAGCTGCTTTTTCTTAATTTATTATCATGCAGGTCTTTTAATCACAGTTGTCGTTGGTCAGACTACTGTTTACTAGTACTTTATGCCTAATATTAGCACTTCTCAATCTCCCGTTTAAATGTACACTAGAAGTGACGAGTATGCATGTGACCAAGACAATGACATCATTCTTCAGATAAAGGACGTTGAATCTCTGTACTAAGCTCTTTTCTGACTTATATGCTAGACCCCCAATTACCTTGACATAATCGAAAGTGACTAAAGCGCTTTTCCTCCCGAATTACTGTCATACGGCCGTGCGTTTACAGCCTATTCCAACTAAGTCTTACTGGTTTTATATTGGCAAAGATCCTTTAACATAAGTCAGGATGCGAAACCAGATGGCACGCGTGCTCAAATTTAGTGTGATGAGATATAGAGCAGCTTTTAGCACTTTCGCTCTTAGAATGTCGATTATACAGTATATGTGAGATCAGCTCTGATTCATACTAATGGAAAATGACCCTAATCTGAAAGATTGTTCACATCCGGTAAGAACACTAAATGAGTAATCCCGAAGTCGTACAATGTGTTCAATTGATTGATTATAACTGTTGTGTTTATACGATCTTGAAGCATCGGCTTAGGTATCGTGGGTATACTATATGAATATCATCTTGATGGATTCAGCATCAAATAACTTTTGAAGATTCCTCAATTGAGCTCAGAAAGTGGAAGTAACTAGCTAAAGATACCTCTTTAAAAGTCCCATCTTTCAATCCACCGAAATTTCGATGGGCCCCAAAAATCACGTAACTCACTGTGTTGTGGTTTTATTCGGGATGGTCCGAAAAAGATAATGGTGACCCGGCTGTAACTATATATATAACCTTCATAAAGTGAGATGCACCTTCGTAATTAAATGAAATATGTCCTATGTTTGTTTTCTTAAAAGAGGCATACATCTAAGTAATTACTGTTCTTTTTCATTTATTTCTTAATTATGTGACCATCCCTTCCTCTGTTTTGTCCGAGGTATCATTTTACATATTGTGATTCTGTATTGTACCAAAAGTCATGTTTTATATGTATATATTAAAACACGACTAAATTATTTAAAGATAAATAAGTAGCATATTATTCAAAGAAAACATCTAGTCGTCGCATCTTTACGTGTTTTTTTGAAGCGCTTCTAGTAGTTTCTCCTGTTTTATTGCTATTTCTGTCAGTAAAAATACCCTCACATTTGGATCTTCAATCTGATTAATCTCTTTCTGAAGCTTGTTTACAATTTCACCAAAAACCTCATCTTTATCCTTATCCTCAATTCTCTTTATGTGGTACTTAAATAGGTTTTCTGCATATTCAATCCACACACAGTTTGCGCATCCAGATTCACAACAATAGGAACGGTGTGGAGGTTCTGGTTCAGAATCACTATTTGGAAAATAGTTTCGTCTCCATAGACGTATTAACCAATTGGATACAGTGCATATAGTAGAATGATTGAAATCCGCTTTTCGCAATAAACCCATGTACACTCACTCCATAACATGTGTATAAAACAAAACAAAATAAATAGATATTTTATAGTGATTAAAGCTTGAAGTGAACAGATGGTTGTTAATACAAATAATTTATATTCATTTACTGAAAGATGTACTACTCATATAATTTATAGATATTGAATTATCAGAGGTGATCAAAATAATCTGTATAACTACGCCACAAAATTCATCGTATGACTATACTCTTGGTTTTGGGAATATAATGTCTACGATTCTTGGTTTGTGTTTCATAGTTGTACAAAATGTAAGACATCTGGGAAATATACCAATGAAACGACTGAATCAGTAAACCTGCGATTTACACACGTACGTTATAATGGAATAGGAAAAAACTTCAGTCCATTATAAACGATAAAAATGCAAAAAATAATCTGACGGCCATCTTCAATATATGTATTTTTTCGAACTATTAAACGAGTTTCGTAAGCAGTATGGGAAAAATCGGAGAGATTTTGGAATACTTCTGAACCAACTAGGTGGGTAAGACTTGTGTTTAAATTTGTTCATAAGCTAAGAATATCTTCTAATTATCTCCTGCATTAGTCATATGTTGCATTTAGTAAGAGTTCACCTGACGTAAAACTATACTGACTTATGTTTCGACTTGAACATTAGTATCTCATGCCAACGTTCTTCCAAAATTTAAGACTGACAATTTTATCTTAGTGAGCACTTTGCAGATAAACAAGTTACCTGGTTTGGTGAGGGAACAGTCAAATATGAACTTAGCAAACGGAAGTTACATTGATCACAGTTACTCTTAGCTAACATTTTGTGGCAGTTACTTCAGATCAGCAAGGAAATGGAGTTGAAAAATATAAGCATGAGAATTACATGATCAGTATATTACGTAAGGGTACTAAGGCTTAATGTTACAGTTTACGAACTATTACTAACGGGTGTTACATTAAAAAATCCCAAACTATACACATAACATGCATGCAAAATCAATATTTCACACACAGACAATACTTCAGTACGCAAAGTGACTTCAAATAATATTTATTAACAAATAAATATACAATAAAAATATTTCGACTTTATGGTAATTTAGTACTAGCTGAAACTTGGTTTCGCAAAAGTCAATGTGGAAACGATATGCTTATTTTTTACTCCACTGCAAATGAATCTGTTTCAAACGTTGATGATATCTTTCAGGAATATTTAACTCTGGATAAACAGTAAGAAGTCTGTCTGAATTTAGTAATTCTTGTAAGTTACGATACACGTATGATTCTGAATCCATTGATTTCACATCGTTCCCAGTTTTTAAATTGTCACTTGCACATAAACATGATAAGCCAGAAAGAGAAAGGTAAGTATGAAGTGGATCTAAAATAAACAAGGAAATTACAAATAAACCATATTTCATAAATCACCAAAAATAAATATACTAAGTATACTTATGAAATTATATCCTGTAGAAACACTGAATTTTGTCAGACAAATATCACCAACATAAAACTTGAGGCAGTTGTGCTTTGTTCTAAGTTGTCATGGCACATCAGCACCAAGAGATAAAAATAAGATGAATTGCAAAATATACCAAAATAAGCAGTGATAAGAAAGAGTAAACATGGAGAATATGTTTTGAACAAACAGACTGGAAAATTCTGTGAAGTGATACTGAAATTCGAGATCAAGAATAAGTGCATCTCCACTATTGTGAACGACTTCGATCTTTTAAATAATACAGCATTTCACACTGCTGTTTATTAGAAGAAAGCACAGGTCTAACTACGGGACACTCAAAATTAAGTTCTCTAACTTAAGTTTCATAATGATATATTTTGTGATGTACGTTATTTAGTATTGTCACGGAAGAATTTACAATTACCAACAAATAAACAATACATCACAAAACTGTGTAGTCCAGATATTTATCAATTTCAAGACTGATGAAGCCTATTTTATTAGGGAAGTACGAAAACTATGTACAAGTCAAGTGCATTTCAAATATCGAGTGGTAGATTAATTTGTTTTGTGGTACCAACTATCTTTGATTAGATAAAGCCAACATGGACGGTTCGTGACAACGCAAAATAAAACGAGGTCATAAGTGTAGAGATTTTGTTTCTCGTGTAGCCCCTTCGTATAGTTTAAGTTTGGAAATTATGTTTCAAACATGCAGAGAATACTTTGAGAAAGCAAAAAACAGTAAGGACGTTAATAAGTTGCACTGGGTAGGGTATGAGAACAGCTTGGCTTTTACCTGGGGTACAAAACTGGTCAGGAGTCTTTGTGAATGCCCCAATAACATCATTCCAACATCTTGTTACAAAACGAACAGCTGAGTTCTTATCGACCAGATGGTGACAGTTTAGTATCTATTAAAGAAATGATTTAAAACATTGAGGTTGATAAATTCACCCAATTCAAATTATGTTAACCTACAGCAATAGGATTGACTAGGGAGTTTTTATTACTGAATGCATTTACAAGTGATATCAATGTGTGACGTAACCTTAAACTCACTGGCCACTCGTACAATCAATATACTACACGAAACTTCGGAGCAAAATATTTATCAATGTTCAGAATTTCAGCTACGCGTAAGTAGTGATGCTTTACGTGTGCAACACTAACTGCAGTTCAGCAGGATCTCAAATCAGTTGTTAATTCAACAACTAGTGAGTTTTCGTTCTGTAACCAAACAGTCACCGATAAACAGTTAAGCATGTCTTCTCTACAAGACGAATGTTTCATATTACGCTTGAAAACGAGCAGTCTACAGTATCGCAACTAGATTCTTGTTAGGAATTTATTTATAAAATATTTACAACACATTTTCTCACAAATAGCTTCTAATTTTATAATATGATTTAGACATTGAGTAGCTATTTGGCATCGAATTAATATATAATTGAACAACAAAGTGGTAACGTAATAACACTTTTATGCACCACAAACCCAACATAAGAGAATAAACACCTAAAAATTTCGAGAAGACGGGCGGTTGTATACTTTTTATACATGCAT